AGAGAGTCAAAAAAAATATTTCGCGTAAATGAGAGGGCTAGCAATGGGAAAGCGGTATGGCGCGACGAGCTACAATGACAATGTGATAGTATTCTAATGAAGATTTAGATTTCTATCGCTAGTGAAAGGTATTCAACCGTCGATAAATGGTAGAATATAAATAAAAGAGACGTCAATAAGGCTCTGCGTACAAGAAACGACGCCAATATTTCTTTTAAAACGTCCCATTTCTATCTAATATTATTGAATCAGTACCGCTTGCAACTTTGATCCATTGATTGTTCAAATTTCGATACTGACTTTTGATTTCGTCTTCAGATGAGTGGGCTTAAAGAATGTGTCTTCGAGGTGTTTTTTTCCTCATTGCAGTGAGCATAATCGAGTGTTTGTGACTGGTAGAATGCATCATACGATACTTCCGACCATTTATTAACCATCAGGAAACGACAATACTGGTATTGCTCCTACTTCTTGTTATTCATTCCTACATAATGGATCACATGTAGCTTTGCTACAAAGTCTGCCCTAAAGATCCTAGAAGTTAAGGCCACCCTACTCAAGGTGATCGCGGATTTGGATTCAAACTGGTAAGAAAATTGAACCAATTTCAATAGCCAGTGCGCTACTTGGAGCAGCAGGAATGATACTTTTCTCAAACGCACTGCAACGTCGATGAAACATTAGTTTTGGTAGCGCAACTGAGATCTCATGTGTTTTGAATACCCAAACTTAAAAAGATGAAGCACTTCTCAAAGTCAAAGTGGGTACAAGCAAAATCATTTTTCACAAGCAATCACTGGACGAAAATACAGCCGAAATGCATTGAAAACTGAAATGTTTAAGGTTTTGGTTGGACAAGGTGAATTCTGGGCACATGAATGTTGTACGGGGAATTGCAGGACGCTACAATGAAGAGCAGTAGTAAACTATCAAATGTTCACCACAATGTTTCTGTCCATTGATATAATTTTCACTTCGAGAGGTGCTGCAGAACTTTCTGTGGTCTAGTCATTAAGTTCGTTGCTATTGGTCGTTCTAAATTATCTATTTCCTATCGAACATGGCAATATGATTGAGAGTTTGTCATATTGGTTGCTCAGAAGCGCCGATGGACGCTCCATCTTGACCGCTTTTTTTTTATTGTCATTGAACTCGTTCTGGATCCATATGTCAAGCTTCCCCGAGTTTCGAAATTTCTTCAGATGCTCCAAAATCGTTGACATACATACATCGGGTTCCTTTACATTCTCATATTATTGTATATATATTATGCTTATATTTGTTCCCTCCAAATCCTGCAATTCGCCATTGGCCATTGTCCATAACACAAGAACCTTGATAACGTCCCTCGTCTTTGAGCTCAAATTCACCATAACGAAATTTCGGGAATCAACGTTACTCTTCTGTGTCTTTGATACTAGTTCCTTGCCTCCACACCTCATTAGTGTTTTGAATCGTTTAAAGTGTATACATCCAAGTTTGATTCCGTCAAAAGTAGATTTATCAAAATTGAAGTTCTGAGATCCAAAATTTCAAGCAAAACATAGTTTGTGCTGCAATTTGATTACACTTTTTGGAAGTATGACGAAATTAACTTTCTACAGATATGTAATAGCGCAACATTTGTAAGGAAACCACTGATGAAACATACACGAAAAAATCGAGTTACATTACCGACATCGAACGGCCCAATATTGTGTCGTTCTACATTTCCAGGCACTAAGCAGTAAGATGTCCTACTCCGAATGATAAGGGATGCTTAGCATGTTAGTTAATTGCTCGAAATTTACTGCTAGCTTTTCGAGTACATCAATAGTGCACGTTTGACTTTAAATCTATACGACCTTATGTCTTAGTCGTTTCAGCTAGCAATTACGATACTGCTGAGCTGACGGTATGGTAAAAGCGGCTATTTCCAGGTGTAGTCGCCACTAGCCATCATCAGTGAACGATATTACTTTGCCACTGAGTACTCGTCTAAAGATAAGAAACTTTTAGGTAAGGCCCGATTTATGTGCCACTGATTGCCTCACCAGCCCTTCTGTGTTACAACACTCGATCTGGGCCGATTCACTTGTTCATGATCCTACTGCTCTCCATCTGCTCATCAATGTTGTTGGCAAGGTAAAATCTAAAGTTAACACTTTTGAGAGGGCTTTTAATTGATCGCACAGCGCAGTTCGCAAGCGACGGGCGAGTTTCGTCATTTGATTACGGTAGTTTTCTCCAATAGTAAGACCTAATTTTCTCGTATAATTCTGAATCTCCATGATTTTCCTTACATGGTCATATGATTTTCGTGCATGTGTATCACTTATATATGAACGATTCTCGTGAAGCAAAACGTGATCTCCTTTCTCCACTCCTACAGCGTTTTGTAAAAACTTTTTCGAAAACTATTTGTGGCCTTGGAATCGTCCGGATTTGAGCTATTAAATGGCTATCAAAAAACTTAGCAAACAGCCGAACAAACAAAGGAAACCGAGCGTATAGCATAACATTATTTTTTCTGCTAAAGCGAATAAGAAAGGTTATACAGAAATCAGCAATTTATCGAAATCGACGAGATTTAAGCTTCAAAATGAATATAAAAATTCTGAAGTGCTTTTTTCAGCGCAAAAGGTTTTCAGTAAATTGTGAATCTCCTGAGATACAGACGTTCCAAAAAGTCAAGTGTAATCTAACTAATTTCGAGATATTTTACGACCAGGCCATAATGCTCGAACCAGGCGTTCCCATGAATGACGATCGCGTGAGAAGACGATTGAAAACATTACCAGAAATGGGTTATAAATGGGTTATCCAAAAGTCAAAAAAGCACCCAGAAAAAATAATGAGCCCTTTCCGGGCGGTGAGGGTCGCTTTTAACACTCAATTTTTTAAAGTCATTTTCTCTAAATAAAGCCCTTTTTCTAGGTTTTAGAAGTCAGTCAAGGGAATTGTTACACACTCGAAATTCTTTGTTTGCCGGCTAGGGTCTGTGGATGGCTTCAAATCGGATTATGCTAGTACTAATTCGTTAGCGCAAATCTTGACAATATCAAACTAAAATTGGTTTTCCGAAAAGTTTTCATAGTGCGGGTGAGTATGAGTAATAGAATGTATGAGCAGAATCAAAATCACGTTTCACATTTGGAACTTTCTTCGTATTATGCGAAAGGATAAGGGATAGAGCTTTCGGCGTTCATGAATTCCCGAGAGGTGCGCCATGCATTCGTCTCCAGTTTTCAACATGAAGTTCGTGCTGCTCATACTTCCAGACGAGTCTGGGACCAGTCTACTATCAATTTACCGACACCGGAGAAATGTATGGCTTGGTGAGCCATGAGCGCGAGATCGAACCATCGATTTTGCGTTCAGAGCACCTCTAATCAGTGCGCCACATGCGCTCCCATCTCGAAATTTTATCACCTATCGTCCTGTTAATCGTCAAGTAACTCGAGCGGGCACCGGCAAACTTCCATTTTTCCCTATCGCGGGTAAGATTAGCCCCAGTGGGTCCTCCTTGCTCTAGAGATTCGTTGAGCCTTATATCTTTTTTCTAGTCCCTTCGTGAAGAAATCGATTTATCGGATCGGTAGTCTTCCTGTAGAACACTTGATATACCGAAGAATCCAAGATTTATCAAGATTATCAAAGATTTATAATTGCACAAAAAAATATATGATCGTGTAGAGAAAACTGTAGAGTATCAGAGTAATACAAGAAACTTTCCTCCGAAAGGTCAGGAAAAAATCTCAACAAATATGAAAATCGCACCACACGTGCGAAAATTGGTCAGCAGCTATTCGGATAAAAATTCAATAGTGAAAGCATATTTAACGATGTGACGATGTCACTTTACCCATCGTGCTGCATCATAAAAATTGACTATATAATGTTCTAGTAATTGATATGGCGGGCACGTCTTCTATGATTAACCTTATCGCTTTGAAACATTGTGAAAATCCGCTCAGCCTAAAATCTTCGTTATAGGACAAAATTGTTCTCGGAACTGACTATCCATTTCCGTTAGGAGAGCTAGAAGTCGGTAAGGTACGCAAGTACGAATAGTTTATAACAAACGGTTGTTGAGAAGTGATATTCAGGTTATTGAAGATTACGAGCTGTTCTCTGGCAATGAAAAAGATCAGCTGCTTTGGAGCAATGCTATCGAACTGTTTCGCTTGGATGAAAATTCACTGTTCAGGCCGATTACTTTGAACTTTTCATCGATAATGTCACTTATCTTTATTTTAACCTTTATAGAAGCACTTATGGGGTAAAATGTGGTTGTACCTCATTACTAGCAGTTGCCGGACTTTATCATCTCTTCTCTATCCCTTGACTATGTGTGACTTTTGATCAAATGTAATTTTATTTATTTTTTTCCATATCAGATGGACAAAAGCACATGTGACGCAGTGGTTAGGAGGTGCTCTGCGTTGCATATAAAGTCGATGGTTCGATCTCGCGCTGGTGCCTCACGAAGCCATCCATCCCCTGGGGTCGCTAAACTGCTACTGAACTGTCCGCAGACTTGTCTGGGAAGATAATCAGCACTGACTAGATATAGCGAGAGGCCACAGCGAGACATTGTAAGGGCCAGATATGCATTGACTCACCTCGAACGAACCCAGAAATTAAATACGAATACATGACTCATCCCTGAGGTACTGATCAATGCCGAGATCTTTATACTTTATCAAATGGACAGTTCAGTGATTTTCAAATTGCCACTAAATGGCCTCAAGCCTGAGATCGCACACCGTAAATAATTCACAAAAATCTGTTCGGCGCACCGAAATTGAAGCCATCCAGTCAACCTTAGGCATATATGAAACATCATAAAACTGCGAAAAAGACAGTAAAACACTATAACTTTGGCGTATCACCTATCACAATGGCTGTCAGCTCAACTGGGTTCATAAAACGAAATAGGGTACGCGACCAAACCTGCTAAAGGCCGGTGGCTGACGGCTAACATAGAGATTTTGAAAAATGAGTGATGGTGCGAATGTTCCTCGGTGGTGTGGTGGTAGCACCCGTCTCCGGTATGGATGAAACGTGGGTTCGACTCCCGTCTGAGGTCGATTTTGCATACCACTCAGTTCTCCTAAGTACATCCACTAAAATTGTTTGACATCAAAGATCTGCGATGCAGTCTACTGTAAAATCACTCAGAACTGTTTTTGTGTTTAACATTCGTCCTTGCACCTTAATCTACCTTTGTCAGATTCTTCCACAGAAAATGCAATAGGTTCCACATTATTCCATATCTTTAGCTTTTCACTATCGCTTCGTAAAGTAAATCAATGCTCCAGGATCTATACCTTGGAACATTGTAGTAAGGTATCTTATACAAATCGGTAAAGTCTTAGTTTGTTAACGACTGTACGAAGTATTTTCTTGACGATCTAACTAAGAAGGGGTTCTTCCAAAACATTTCCTTAGCTGACGTTTTGCTATTTCTATCTTCTTCACAGTTTACTTGATCTGAATCGATATTCTATCTGGTCTTCGCTAGGATGTGGCCGTTCGTGATTATATCTAGTGAAATCGTCTGGAGTAGAGCGCGGCTCGAATGAAGTATCATCTATCCACAGAAATTTCTGGTGCAGAGAGGTTGATCTGTTATCATTCAATAGTGTGTGCTAATCTGCTTATTAGTGCTGAGGTACCCTACAAAAGTCTGTTTTATATTAGATGGCACATAGCTTAGTAGTGTCTAAACCGAACTTTCTTCTGACCTCGGTGTGGAGCGTCAAAATTTTCACAAATCTAGGAAGTCATTAAATAGGAAGTTGTGAATAAAAGGACACCGCCATTTATTGCATGAGGCATGCAAAGTTCATTCTTCAACAAGATTAGTCATTATTCAACCCGTTGGGAACCGCTTTTATCCCTACGCGGCAGGTGGTGAGATCGCGCGGCGGGCGCGTACCGGCGCAATGCGGTAGTTTTCCGATCAAATATAGACTTTTATCGTGGCTATAGAAGGTTTAATTGTCAATTGCAGAGAAAATATGGTAGAAGAGACTTCAAAAGGCTATTTTTGGTCCAATCATGCAAAACAATCACAAAACATTGATTTGTTTGTCAGAAATGATAGTGCACATTTGCAATGTTACGCCACTTCACCGATAATTCGAAGAAACTTCTAGGATTAGTGGACGGTGGGAATTGGGACTTCTTCGAGTTGTAGAAGAGATTTTTGTTCTACTGTCATATGGATGACGATATTTTCTATGAATCCACTTCTACTCAGCTTTTAATCATTTCATCGATGCACTGTGGAGATAATACCACTGCTATTCAAAACGGAGGCGCCATGGCCGAGTGGTTTTGATGCTCGTTGCGGCACACGCTGACTGAACCCCGCCCCTCAACACTTTCCGGCAGTCAACAACGAAACCCCTATGAAATGCCACTACCAGGGTATTCTCGAGATCGACAAAAGACATCCTCAACCAATATTCTACGGACGTGTCAACTGTGAAGTTGTAGAAAAATACTGTGCGTGTTGCAAAACGCCGTTTTTTATTAGTTAGTAAAATGTAGTATGAGAGTCGCTTCACAAAGCAAACCTGAATCGAAATTTTCCAAGCTATCGAAGGACAGCAAAAACAAAAACTGAAAAAAGAAACAAGTGTAAGCCAATGTTATATATCAGCTGGGAATATGTTCGTTTTTGGAAAGATATGATTTCCTTGCTGAAACAGTAGATTTTCAAAGCATGGGCTTTGTTTGTACTAGAAAGAATCATTATAAGAGTCTTCCTTTGTGATATTTCATCATCTAGCGCTGATAGATGCCTTTTGAAACCTAACTCACCATGGAAAACTTTCACAGTTCCATTGCTGCGCGCGTCCGTATTAAATCCTGCTACGCTTCGTGCGATTTCACCGTCGCACATAATATACATGCATCGGTTCGACAACTGGTTAACTCCAACCGCTAGTCATGGGTCATAGTCATCACATAAATTGTGCGGGGACAGAAAGTACCCAAAAGGGGCTCACGTAAATTGCGAAATAGTGATTAAAATGCTGTGATCAATGTGATTTGTCAGTGGGATTCTATGGTGTGTAGAAATCATGTGTTATAGCATCTCTAGCGCGATGAAACAGACCTTTTCGATGACTCCGCTATGCTCCGAATAGTTCTAAATGGCGAAAAAGTACTGCCTATTACAGACAAATCAACATCGCTCATTTCGCTAATAGTGAATGACGAAAAAGCTGTTCAAAGTATCGCTACCGACATGAAATTAGGTGAGCTTGGTAGTCTCATAGGTCAGCGACACAATGTGGGTTATGTGTTGACGCAATGAAGTCATGTGAATGTTATGAACGTTTAGATCCTCCACATCAAACAAGCAGCACCAATCTTCATTTCACCAGTCAGTTGTTAAACAAAACATCATACATTAAGAATGTGCCGCCTCTTGATTTGATACTCAATAAGCATGATTTGCCACAAACAGCGACTTGCCAGCAACACCACCAGCATTCGCGTCACCTGTGTACTTGCCAAGTGATGCCAATGAGTTAGCCTGTGCTCGTTGTAGTAGAATGGCCTGAACAGTAATCTATGATTCCAACCAATAATGAATTTCAATACGATTCAATATCCTATCAATAACAAGGCTGTAAGCTTATCTGCGACATATTCACTCTGAATAATTCCTTCATTAAATCAAAAGATCGACTGTTTTTAGAACCCCGAAAAAAAACATTCACAATAATTCCAAAAAAGAATGCTTTAAGCTCAAAAACGAGGTTGTTACGCCAGGGTCATACACCGGTGTTTCGGAGGTTCGTCCTCCTCGTCAGTGACCCCCGCCCCACATTCAGCCCTGCCTTTTTTTTCGGGGTTCTAAAAACAGTCGATCTTTTGATTTAGTTTTGATCTAACAGCAAAAATCCATCGACTGAGGGGTGGTGATGGACCAGTGTCATTGCACACTGTTCCATCACCACATACGCCTCCCTCCTTGCTTCAATGCTAGCTTAAAGCATTCTTTTTTGGAATTATTGTGAATTCCTTCATTAGCAAATGAATTTAACTGTTAAGGTGGAAATTTGTTTATGCTACTTCTATACCTTAACTATGTAGTGTGCGCTATACTTACTTACCTGAGCATCTTTGACATTTTCGGGCTTTCCAGCCCACTTCGCTAAGCACGACGCTTGCAGGGCTCGACCGTATGAAAATGTGAGCACCCATGGCTTCTTACCTGACACCTTAATGACATATAAACCTACTTCTCTATTTCTTTTTTGAATTCTATTATTCTACTGATTTCCTTAAAACTCTTCGAATAATGATGTCAGGACCTGTACTGACCTTATTTATAGCGTTTAGATTCACTGTAGCGTCTTCTTCAGACTGGCCACCTGAAAGAAATACAACGCCAGGAACTGCGGTCGGCACGGATCTTTGCAGTGCAGTTACAGTAGCCAGCCCAACTTCTTCAGGTGTTGGTTTACGTTCTGTGTAGCCCTGACCTGCAGCTGATACATCTTAGTCGATCCTCTGATTGTACTGTGTTCTAGTTTGAACTAACCAGCAGTCACCATGTTCGGCTTCAGCAACGTTCCCTCAAGAAAAACATGATTCTCATTGAGTGCCCTAAAGACTGTATTCAGCATCACAGATTGTTTGAAAAGTTGCATAAAGCTTCACCTGTAGCAATACGACAGCACTACCTCAGTGATTTTTTGACATTTAGCGATGTCATGATTACCATCAGGTAAAATCTCCGGTTCTACAATAGGAACTAGTCCGTTCTGCTGACATATTGAGGCGTACGCGAGCAAGTATCTTGAAGATATGATTAGATAAATTTTCAAAAGAAACTCTGTGTGCAAAAAACACCTGGGCTATCTCAACTAGCGCCGTAGGAGATGGTGTTACGTTTGAAATTTTGTGAACGCAGCGCCATTTGGCAAATTGAGCGCCATCCTGGAAAGAACATACATTTTTCATTGCAACTTCGATATCTCCAATGTGATACAAAGTAGCTAGTGTCGAAAATCACGCAATATCATGGAATTCACTTTCTTGTAAGCCGCGCAACGCTTATTGAGATCATCCATTCCTTGTGTAGTAACTTCATCAACGGTACCCGCCATGGGAACTGTACCTTTGTCAACCTAAATTCGATTTTGTCATTATATATATACATATATGTATAATGAATTGGCAAGACCACAATAAACTGCTCTGCTTTCGTTCCATTGCGCCTTCTTTTTACAAGAGACAACTTGAGTTATTCTGTGAAATACTTTTCATTTATTAGCTAGGCAAAAAGTGTAGTCTAACTCTTGTAATGCGTAATGTTTTTAGAATGTAGTGGAAATGATCGCTCTAAGAACGCTAAAAAACTCTCGACTTTTCGATAGAAATTTTTCTCTACATTTTAGTTTGCTATTACATTCGCTAATAGTGTCAAAGCGCAATTTCTTAGATTTTAACAACGCATGAATCATTTTATGATCCGTACGGCAACTTCAATAAATTGGTCTTTCTACTTGAGCAATAAATCATCTCATATCAAACCATATCTCCATTATCTTACAATGAATCAGTCATTTAACTGAAATACAAGCCGTTAAAGTTTAAAGATTTTCTCAATAGATGCAAGTTTTAACATTCTGCCATGATGATATTCTGACCATGTGTTGCATTCTTCAATATGACAACTCCTCAAACTCTCTAGATATTGAGAATTTTTGAAACGACCCGTTACCACGACTTACTGCAAGGATCCCACCACTTCTGGCATTTCACCTACTGCTCCGACTGTTGCTTTAAAAAATCATCTTCTGATGAATGCCGTAGAATACTATTGAAGACGATCTCTTGTAATCTTGAGCTAGCCCAACTAAAATGTCTAATCGTTTTTTAGTGACTGACTGTACCAGAGCTGAAGGATAGAACCAGAGCATTGCATATCTAGTTGCCTTCTTATATGCTGCATCGCTTGTCACTGACCAACACCGTTTCCATTGAGAGATTTCATTTCCAATCAAAGGTGAAGCCGTATTTGTGGGCTGAATATTTCACACAACGGTGGACACCTTGAGAAGT